CGTCCCCCTCCCCTTTCCCCACCGACCACACTCCGGTACGTGTACGATAGTAACGAGGGCTTCCGTCCGTACGTGTGAGTCACACGACTGTGTGTGCGTTTGTGCGTGTATCGGCGCGCGTATATAGGAATAGAGCGAACGATATAGCGAGCCATCCACCGTCCTACGGGGTATGTGTTGTGCCACCCCTCGGAGACGCCGAGACGCGCGGGACATATTTTTGCAGTCCTTGTCGACTTTCATGAGGGAGTCTTTCCGCAATAACATATTAATATCCCGGAGCGTCGCGAGACTTATGGCTGTCCGTGGAAAGCTCAACTCCGGATCAACGTGGCGCCCGTTAAGGCGGTTCCACATCCTGTAACCGCGATGACGCCGCGGTAACGAGTGCTTTTTAAGTGTCGTAAAGCAAGCGTCGCACGTCCGCCGCATCGCGATATCGTTAAAGAATTGATAACGATCCCGCCGGAAAAATGTGTATGTATTGTGTACACGCGTCGCTCGTAATATCTTCTCGTCGATAATAAATATCGCGCGCGCTCGATGGAAGAGACACATCGTCGTCGCTACAAAAGTCTCGATTCTACTTTGCGACGTTATTTAGAGAGAACGATAATTGTGCGCGTATTCGTATCTAAAATCTGATCCGCGTATCCAGAGAGGTAATAGACGACGGGATCGGGGAAAGTGGATGTGGTTGCGGGATAGACTTGCTACGGCCAGGGCCGCAGACAATGAAGCGTAAGACGTGTGATTAAGTTTACATCGCATTTATTATTTTTTTTTTCCTTTTTTAGCAATCGTATAATCAATGTGTAATATTACAATAGCGTTCGAAACCGTCCCTAAGAACGCCGGGGATATAATCTTAATCATAGGCAGCTAATGCGGCCCTGGTCGCTGTCGGAGTACATATAATCAGGATTCAAAAATTTGTAAATAATTAATATTCTAGTATATTACAAAAAGGAAGAAATTTGCCACGTGAAACATTTACACAAATATAACTAACACTACGCATAAGGTAACGCCTATCCCTAACAGGACTACGTGCCTAATTGATAACGCATAGCACAGCAGAGCAATGAATCATCTCTATTCCGAGATTCACAAAATAAATAACTATTAACATTACATACCTCTTAGAAATACTGCGTTTATGTATTACTTTCTCTCTCTCTCTCTCTCTCTCTCTCTCTCTCTCTTTCTCTCTCTCTCTCTCTTTCGCTCTCGCATCCTCTCTGTTTTCTAGCGGCTATTCGTATACATTCATTTTAACTAGAATAAAGTTACTGTATAGGAGATAGCGCCACAGATCTCTTTACACAGAGCAGGCGTCTACGTACTTTAGATACGTATATTATAATATTCGTTTGTAATGTCCATCTTCGTTTTGCTTCTCTCTCGAACCGACGTTGATTAAAAAAAGGGGGAAAACTTTTTTTCAGAAAATTCTTTCCGTATTTATTTCCGAAGGGATATCCGTCTCGAGACCGCGCACTTTTTGACCACTTTAACAGGTACTTAAGCAGACGCACATCATATCTATATATAAACATTTCTATACAATATTGATAAAATATTACCGAATATCAACATATATATTTTGTACCAATCGAAAATATCGTATCGTTATGATTAATCTCGCTTGCTGCCGTTATATACGTTGTCAAATAGTATAACTCTAATTAATAAAACGCGCGAAATGAAATAGAACAGTCTTTTTATAACAAACGAGCGAAAGTTACCATTAGCAAAAGCAATATTGGTAACAATATAAACGCTTTCTCGTATTGCTTCGCACGTAGATAATAAAAAAAATAACAAAAACATAACATCAATAGCAATCGTTCTATTTTACTCCCTCTATCCCTTTTCTCTTTCTCTTTATCTTTCTCTCTCCCCCTTGTCACAAAACTATATCAAGTGCGCATTTTCGAGAAAGAACGTATCAAACAAAGAAAAATGAGGAGAATTGTAAAGAAACATGATAATTTTGTACATTGAGTCGGGAAAAAAAGAGTCGTGCTTCCGTTATGAACGTTAATCGACTCAATCTTGCCCATCGAGAGAATTATAGAGATGCTTCTACATTCTATATTTTAACCCTATAAGTAGTTGTAGCCTTTTCTTTACGTATTTCAGTTTCTAATCTGCGTACAACCAATGTATCGCAATGTACGTCGAGAATGTGACTCTGTTTTCGGTCGATTTTTCGCAAACGACACCCCGGACCTGCGGACGTTGGCTGATTGGCCACCCTCGATAATTCAACCCCTATCTACATGCTACTGTACCAAAGCAGAAACTACAGGTAGAGAGACCAGAAAGGGGAACGACTACAACAGCGCTAGGCTTATACGGATGATACTGTGTGTACTTGGATACTGATTGGTCTGGGAGCATATCGGTCAAAGTGAGCTACGGGAGGTAGCCATGGGGTTAGGGGGGAGGGAAGGTTCGTCACTCACCGGGTGCAGCATCCGATTCGCCGCAACCGATAAATTGACGATCGACAGATACGCACATCGACCATCTATTTGGCATTGCAGAGACAGCGGGTGCAGCCTGCCACTCACCTGAAACAGAAACAGAAACGACGGAGTTAGCTTATACATGTTCCATGTGTTTTATCATCAACGTAAAATTAAATATTTAAAGAAAGCGTTGACTCTTTTCTAATAATGAGCGAACATAAAACAAATATAATCCTGTGATAATAAAATGCGGAAGAGAATTACATTTTATAATATATGCACGAGAGGTAATTTTACTAGATAATTAAAAATTTAGCAATCATTAAATATTATCTGCAGCATTTTATCTATAGTGATTAGTAACAAAAAAATCTAAATTTTTTTTTACATGGATATTTGCCGTCCCTTTTTGGAGAGCGAGATCACATCATGTGAGACCGAATGTTTGAAAGTTCGACTTAGGACGTTCATATATACAGCATGCTAGGGACGCGACGGGTCGAGCCATGAACGCTGGTTCAGCTTCTTTTGTAATAGAATGAATGCACATGGTGCCTCGTTCGGTTACATGCACGTTGAGCCTGAGCTTTCGTAGTGTTGGTATATTGGGATATCAATAGTTCACGTTAAGAGCGAAAGGGGTTTATCTAGAAGGTTTTACGGAGAATGAGAGCCAGCGAGAGAGAGACTCTACAATTTTCTTTCCATTTTCTTCCGTTTACAATTACATGTGTAACATTATAGCCACGTTTAGAAAAAATGGAAATATTGCTTGTCATATAACATTCTGAAACGAAAAAAATCGAAAAAATAAAAGAAGAAGAATAACGAGAGATTTCGTACTTTAAATAAAAAGTTAAATAACTTTACAACCACAGATTATTCAATCTGTCTTTATTTATGAGATGCTTTATACGATATACATATATAAAAATGATTATTCATTTGAGTTACCCTTAAATTTAGATTTTTAAATAGATTTTAAATTATCGTGACATATAAATGAACCAATGCTAATGAGATATTATTAAGACTTTGGACGATGAACAGTTCTCCAAAATTCCCTTCACGATTCGAGCAACCCTCGTTACTTAGAAATTGTTTACACACACTTGTGTATCTCATTTACGCCGCCGTTTGCAGTTCGGCCTAGAATCACTTCGCCTTTCCAGGAGTACGCGACGCTCTGAAACTGGAGTCTGGCGTACATACCTAAGCGTCCTTCCTGTGCGCATTTATCAGGATTTCCGAAGGAAGCTAGAGTTTTTAAGCCGCCATAAATTCTCATACTTAAAACTCGCAAAAACCAGAAACACGATTCTCGATATGGCGCTGCAAAACAACGTCGTTTATTTCGCGTAATTCGCCGGGGCACTTTCTCTATCGAGAAATAAGGAACGTCTAAATTATAATTTCGTGAAAGCGTCGAAAACGCCGTCGTGTTAAGACATCGCGCGCACGATAGATCGGTAAGAGAACATACATCACAGAGGTGAATTTCACGATACTCTCTTTTTGCTGTTTATTTGAATAAATCATGTAGAGAAGAAGAGAGAATTTTTTTTATATAATCTTGGTATTTAATCTATTTAATCAGAATGTAAAAAACGCATTCAAAAAAGGAGTCGCAAGAAATAAAAAAGAATCACGATTAACTTTACAAATGTATATATATATATATATGAATGGCTGTGTTTTTGCGTGGATGATGTGTGCTAGAAAAGAGAGGAAGAGGGAAGAGAAAAGAGAGAGAGAGAGAGAGAGAGTGGGAAGAGAGGGGTGGAATTGAGCAGGGAGCAGTTATTATCTATCGCTCTCGTTACCACAGGTTGCTCGTAAACCGGCCGCATCAAGGGGTTGGGGAAAAGCGGGATGGAGTGCAGAAGCATAGGTAGAGGTGTAGAGGTAGATACCAGTACTCATATCGTCGTCGCCGTCGTTTCGTACCCCCGCATAGCACAGCACCGCGGGTAAATTCCCCACCCCTGACTACGCTCATCGGTTACCCCTGCAGAATATCACACAGGGAGTGTGAACGGACGGCTGTGTCTGGGGGGCTGTTCGAAAATCTCGGCTCGCTATTCTCTACGCTTGGCCGATCGTGAATGAAAATCAAAACCGATACTCCGCCATAAAACTTTTAATTATACGTAACAACTGTCTTTTCATTTTACTAGCGATCCCTCATCTCTGTCGATGATAAAACGAACAAAAATATATCGATAGCTATACATATATACTAACAATAAAATATATAAGTAGTAAACATCTTTTAATTATTATTATATTTTCCATTACTAAGAGTAGGGGTTGTTTTTAAAATGTATATACGGTTACAAAAATTTTATCGATAAATGAAATATTATTACCATCTTATATATATTCATCAAATACATATATAGCCTTCGAAAAGATACGTCAATTTATAACATGTATAGAAACCGCGGCGATAGGAAATATGCGATTTCTCAATGCGGAGAGCCAGGTACATCTATATGAATGCATACATGTGCATGCGGTCGAAGCCCTAACTCTGACGGGCAAGTGGAAGGATCGGCGAGAGAGTTTCGAATTGAGATCGAGTTTTTTGCGCCGCAACGGCGTTGAACGAACGCGAGTGCGCGCAACCCCCGCGGAGCAACAGTGGGCTCGTCTCGCGACAGGGGGCAGCATCACCATCGCCGGCTCTATACCGATATTGTGTAGCGTGTAGTTGCTACGAGCAGCCGTTGCACCAGGAACTCATAAATCTCCGGGGATATAGATGGCTCTAGTGTCGCGTGAGGTTGCAAGCTACCCCATGCAGGGTGCCGTGGAACGCCCTCCCGTCCCTACCCTGTCCCCCTTACCCGGCCCACTTCATCGTCCCTCTCGCTCCCTCGTCGTCACCCATCCATTCCATGACCGAATTACCGGAATCCCACCTTCCGGGCCGAAGGTGGACCTTTCGAGACGAACGCCGCTTATTCTTCAATACTGTTCAAAAATGCATAGACATTTCGAATAGTACTGTCTCTGCGCGCGTTTAAAAATTGATTAGTAACAAATAATGCAATAGCACGTCGTCGGATAGAATAAAATCATTCTTACGCGATGGTTTTTATCAGAAAATAAATGAATTAATTATATATCGAAAAGCGTCAGTAATTATTTTTCCAAACGTCTTACAAAATACTTTATTCTCGACAATGTTTGCAACATGTAAACATGTCACATTGCGAAACACGCCTAATAAATTTGTACTGAACTGTCGCAAAATAAATTTTATATTTATTGTCATTGGAGATTTATAAATTGAAAAATTAAAAAAGATTTATCAAAGATCATTGTATTACTAACATTTATGGTGAGTAGAGAAGAAAAGAAATGTAAGGACTTAGCTCTTAATCTCTTCCTCTTGTGCCCCTGCTGAGCTTATACCGCAGATATGATCGATGCTCGCAACACTATCTAATGAAAAATATTTCTTTACACGCTAGCGAATTGAAGTGAAAAATATCATTCCACATTTTTACAATGACATATGCTCGTCTTATAATTTGGATGAAGATAGTTTCGAACGTAAGAATTAGAAAAAATATGAAACTTTAAGCTTCTAAAAAATCTGATCTAGATCATAAATTTAGAACATTTTGTAACGCAATCGAAAGTTCGAACTATTTAAGAATATAATGTTCGAGAAATTATAAGGGCTCTAAAGTTTTATTATAAAATGTAATCTATATTTAGGAGGTATAAAATATTAGCCAATAGAGAAGATTTTAGAAAATGTGAGAGAGGACTAAAAATATGCCTACAATAATAAGAATGAATTATGTGTTGATATGACTCCGGTGTAAGAGTAAAACGAGTACTTGGAGTAGCTTGGAGAAAAAAGAAAGAGAGAGAGAAAAAGGACGGGAAAAAGAGGAAAAGAGCGGAAGATCCAGGGACCAAACAGCCAGCCAGCCAACCAGTCAGCCAGCCAACCAAGCTAGTCGGAGAAAGAAGAGAAGGCGACGCTGATGATGAATCACTCGTTAGAAGTGAGTGGGAGCGAAAGAGAGAAAGAGGGGAAAAGAAAAGGAGCAATAAGATGATACCATGCAAAAAAGACTCGACGTTGGAACGCGCTAGAGCGAGTCGCTAACTGACTTATCTACACATCAGAGTATGCGGCTCGTTCTTCCAGCCCGGCGTGAGATGAAACGTTTTGAACATTTCAGGCGTCAACTTTAATGAGATTTAGAGGAGCATTCACTCGACAGTTAAAAATTATATGCTATAAGTATTCGCGACAAATATACGAAGAAGCAAATTAATAAACAAACAGACATTAAAATCAATATAGGCAACATAATATATATATATACACTTTATAAAAATTCAATTAACGGCGCTTTAACGACAAGAAATCTGAAATAAATTACAGTACGATAAGATCGTTGATAATTTCGGAATTTATCACATTTTTATATCAACGTGTACAACCAGCGCTTAAATCTTATTGGATACGATGCTCTACGAAAGGATAACGATCGAAAAGATGCCGTAACCAATCGGCAACGAGAAAACTGAATTCTTCCCGTGGGCATGTCGGACAAATCTGAGGGGTCGGTTTGCCGAGGAAATTGGGTTCGTCTTACGGAGATCTACCTACAGGAGTGCACAAGTAAAAGAAGTTTCAGTATCATCAAAGAGTGTCTCGACTCCCGCGCGTTTATACGCTCGCACACCGATAGGGCTTATATAGAAGTTGCGTTCGCTCGGTCATGGGTAATGGTTTTACGAGCGTCAAGGGTGATATAAAGAAAATGAAAAACACGGTACTGTTGCCGGCATGCACGGTATAACTAACTACGCTGCCACCATGTCCTCCTTCCTTTCCGCGTCTACTTCTTAAGTTTGTACAGTGGGGGCAAAACTCTTGCTGCTTCAAAATACCTCCCGCAACTTCATCACTTCAATGAGAAGAGTGCCAATTAATCATGCACCCTCAAATTATGATTATATATATTGCTCATATTTATGATCATTATTAAATATTTATAGTTTTAATTTATATGGCAAATATTTTTTAGTAGAATAATATTTATATAAACAATCTCTTTCTATCGTTCTTG